TCTGAAATCCAGTTAGGCTCTCACAACGTCTGCTCCTCGTTTTGTGTATTGGAATGATATAGGGGCACGACTTCGCCCAATTCTGGGATTAGGCCAACAGATTCTGGACATTATGTGGCCTAGGACGGGTGCCTTGTGGTCGAAGGCTTCCTTTCACTAACTTAAACGGAATTCAGATAATGAGGAAAACGCCCAGGGTATATCATGCGATTCACATTTTTTGTGTAGGATGCCTTTAGAATTTGGTGGTAAGGGGAGATATATGCAGGTTCAAACCCTAAACCCTTAACCTTCTTGGGCCTCGTTTGCTAGGACCCTTCTCCCTAGTTCACTGTATCGAAATCCCCCAAAACCCTAAACCCAAATCCTAAACTCTAATTTCGAAGGCTGACCGATATGAGCGGGTTGCCTAGGGACCATGAAATTGGACATGGGGGTTCCTTTATCAGTTTAGTTCAGTTCCTTATATATATATAAGCATGTATAAGCTGTGTGGGAGAAATGAATCCCTGTATGCACCTGTCTAATCCGAGTTCCCAGGTCATGTTCCGTTTCATTTTTGCATATGAGTTTGCACTGTGCCTGTTACTCCATGGAAGCCCTACATAGTTCTCATAGAACCCTAGTTATGTGGTAAATATTGACTGTACCCTTAACTCTAAGCCCTAAACCTCCCCTGGCTTTCCTTTCAGATTTGAGACAAGGCTGTGCATTTGGAAAGAATCACCATATTTCTTAGGGTTTAATTTGAGGTTTACATAGGGCTCATGTCAAAGCTTAGTGTTTAGGCTTTAGGGGGTCCGGAGTTTGGGGTTCAGGGTAACTTTAACAACAACCATATTTTAGATATAGAGCTTTCCCAGACTTAGGAGTTTTTTTTGAGGGTCCTCATAATAATGCTTATTGTACTTTGGGATCCATATTGCGGGCCCGTTCTCATGGAAATTGCTAAATAGCTGGCCCGATAGCATATGGCATGAGAACGAGCAGGATTGGTGTAACGATGGCTATCGGTCTCACTAAATTTCCTGTTGCTGCCACGGCTGCACATTGTAAATTGGGAGTTGATGCGAGCAGGCATCTTGTGCGCCATAGTGGCTTTACTGCTTTCTGCATCGTGTACATGTGTCAAGAGTGTTGCTGTTACACTCCCCCAAACTAACATGGAAACCCATATAGCCCCCTTTTAAAAGGACTGTAGTCTTTATAGGACCCTTTTTGGGGTTTCCATGTTAGTTTCCGGGAGGGTAGTGGGCCTGTGGGATGGGGAGTATTGGGATGAAGGTCAAAGCCTACCATGGATGTGAGCAGCAATGCTGATTGGAATAGATAGGGAATCGCAAGAGGAAGTACGAATCACACATCACAACAGCAAGCGAGTAGTGTTGCGCTTAAACGTAGTGCATCTCTCAGAAAATCTCATGCCATCAAATCCTGGCCGCGTTGGGCTAGCAACATGTTTTCATTACCGAAGGTCAGTCATGTGTACCGCAGTTTCCATTCCTTCCATATGATTCTGCATTTTCAAGGTGGCCCAGATCCTCTTATTAAAGACTTAACCCTATGAATCTTGAACCTTACGCCCAAAACCTACTGCAGCCTTCGGGGTTAATTTCTTGTCTGGGAGCTGAAGGACTGGGTTACTGCTCCTGCGCGAGATGCGCCTTCTGCCTGGATTGCCAGCTGAAAAAAGGGGGCGGCCAAACAAAAAAACTGTGGAAGCCTTCTATGGCAATTTCCATAAGTAGGGGAACCCAATATAGACCCCCAAATATTCCATCAATTATGGGTGAGACCAAAAAGTACCTAAGTCTTGAAAACCCCATACTATCCATACATCATTCCATGACAGATTTGCGTTCTCTCGTCTGCTAGTTAACCAACGGTAATTAAGCTGGAGGGAGCCTTGGAGCATCCTCAGCTGTTTGCAGGGAATGGAGGAAAAGACCCTTATCCTGGCTACTAAATAATCCCCCAAAAATGTTTGCTATTCATTCTGCGAACAACCCGCCACTACGGAAATTCCTTCGCAGGAACTGCCAGCAGTCCTGCTCTTCCTCATCTTGGTCACGGCAGCGCCAACTTTTGGACGTGCTCTAGAGCGTTACCAATGGCCAGATGCCGTAATCTACAGTGCCGTCTGAATGCAAGGCTGAAAAAACGACCAACATCAAGGATTTACAGGGGGAGAAGGGAATAATGGAGAATCAGATGGAAACGAGCCTTGAAAATAGATTGGGAACTGTGTTCCGATGGGGATTTAGATGGTGGCCCTTGTATAAGTATGGAATGAGGTACCTCAAATCGACTTCAACATGACACTGATACATTCAGGGCCTTACATTGGAACTTTTGACTGTTTCGAAATATTCGTGGGGGGAGTTGTCCCGTGCTTTTATACCACAGAGCGGGCTTCATTTTTTGACAATTTTCCCTTGTTACGGAATTTACATTAAGTTACCACTGATGATAAGAAGTGACATGTATTCGTACTTTGTATCCATAACAGTATTAATGGCAATCAAGCTTAACTCCTTAACAAACTCAGTATAATGTGCCTTATAAGTTTGGGCAATAATCTTGGTCCATGTGAGGCACATCAAGCTTCTTGAGCAAAACTTCACCTTCCATACGTTCCGTAACCGTATTTAAGCAGTTTTCACTTGTTAGGCATCAGGGTTAGAAAAGTAGCGTGGTTTGGGGCTTGCGGCTTAGGGCATTCAATCTCAACCCAGCAGTAGGCAGCAGCCTGACTTGTCAGCGCGAGACGGAACTCCTTGTTGAATTTCCGTGCAGGAGGCAATGATTGGCAGGGTGTTCGTACAAGATTTCTACTTGTTTTATTGGTTCATGTGGCTGATGGTGCTCCTAGAGCACAAAAGCATTTGCAGAATTGGCCGTTTTATGCGTGGTTGGGGCAACATCGGGCAAGAATATTTGCTGGTCATGCCAGTGATCTTCAGATGTTGTCGGCCTTTGCAACTTTGATATGGAAAGTTCAACGCCACTGCCTCCTACAAAAAAATCAGGTTGGCCAGAAAGGGAAAAGCCTCCATGGCAGAAACAGCTCCAACAGCCTGGAATCTTGGATTGTTGCACTGTTGTGCCAGCGTTGTGTGACAAAGTTTTTGATGTTTCGCGAGCGCATGCTGCATGTATTTTCGTTGCCGATTGTTGCAAGGCACAGGCATTCAGCTGGTAAGCATGGACCGAACTAATGTTCATTGATAACGCGGTCAACTTTGACTGTGTGGGGGGTTGCGGAAGTCTTGGACTTCTAACATGCCCGCCTGCTCCAGGTGCCTGTCATTACAGCGGACGAGTGGTCGGAGGAACCTCTGCAGTGAGGTGGTACTATTCCATAGGAGTAAGAGAAGTAGAACGACAGCATCATTACACGTTGACGAAGAAGATATTGCAATAGTATGCAATAATTAGTCATGTAGCGGTTGTGATGGCGATAGTGATTGTGAGAGTAGCCGCAATCATGAAAGTAATAGTCACGGTCATGGTGGTGGTGGTGGTGGTGGTGGTGGTGGTGGTGGTGGTGGTGGTGGTGGTGGTGGTGGTGGTGGTGGTGGTGCTTGTGGTGAACGTTCAGCCGCAACAGCCTTTCGGTGAAATGGTTCATCGATTTGCCGATGTTTCTACATACATGTTGTTGCCCATGTGATTGATCATGACAGCAAAAGCAACACCTGGGAGCAATAGCCACATGTGCCCGAGATACTGCTGTTTATTGCTACCGTCGACGCTGATGCTACCACTACTTTTCTATTCATACGCAGGGAAGCACTACTACTGCTAAGAATCATGCTGCCGCAACTGCTGGCCGCCCGCCCGCGCCGCCCACGACCTCCGCCACCACCACCGCCACCCCAACCACCAACACCAGCGCCGCCACCGCCACCGCTGCCACTGCCGCCGCCACCACCACCATCACATCTATTGCGTCTTACCGTCTGTACAAATCCTTCTATGAGGTACGCTTGCCAATATGATTGTAATTTCTCGAAGGCAGGCGCAAGGAATGCTGCTGCTTTGAGCTTACCAGGCTGACCACGGGATGAGCATGGTGACCTCTACAACTGCAAGAGCAGGTAAGCATTGGGCTGTGTACCACTACTCGTTATTTTGGCGAAATATTGCGACCTCTGGCACTTTGAGATTCGTAACAGTAAGTATGCGACCAGTTGGCGACCAGTAGGATTTTCTGGGCGTGCAAATGGACATGTCTCAGCGCAGTGCTCCATCCTCCCATATGAGTAGCACCGTCGCGTCTTCTCAGGTTCTAGACTCGCTTTGCTGTTGATGTCAAGGTGTACATTTTTGTAGCAACCTTGCATGCGTTTTAAGATCCTTGCTGCTGCCAGCTTTGGGGACCACAACTACTCCGAAAAGATGGCATCGAACGCGCACGGATCGGGTCGTGAAAGCAGTGCGGCTGATTACAGACGCTGCAGCCACCGTATCTGTGTCTGCAAAAACACTGCAACAACTGCTGCTGCTGCTGCTGCTGCTGCTGCTGCTGCTGCTGCTTCTGCTGGAAGTTGCCTGGATTTCTGAAACCGTGTCCAATATTGCTTTGAGCCTTGTAATTTCTTCGCACTGAGTCAACAAAGCCAAATCTCAAGCAAGCACTCAGAAGCTTACAGCCATCGACTAGGAGTCCCTGAGATGTCATTGTTTACTAGTGCGCTCTCATCTGCTACTACCCCCACCACCCTCAAACCACCCCTACCACCGACCACCCACCACCCACCAACCACCGTCCACCACCCACTACCCACCACCCACTACCCACCACCACACGCCACCCGCCACGAGCCACCACCGCCGCCACCGCTACCGCCATCGGCAACGGCAACCGCAAACCGCATGATCACATAATATGAGGTCATTAACACGCAGCCAGGTCCGCAAAATAGAAACTTAAAATCCTGGTTTCCTACGGACACCCTGGTATTGCTGAACGACCTATTATAGAGATAGCCCAGCAGGCAACTTCGCTCAAACAGTGCGAGCAGACAGGCCTTGGAACGTACATGTAGCAGCTGTTCGTTGGAGTAGAGCTTGAGGGAGCTTTGTGAACCAACTTAGGGTCCGGGGTGGCTGATGATGGGGCATGATGGGGCAACCTGTCTGCACACAACTCCCAAACTTGCCATGTTGTTTGCCTGCAAATCTGACTTCTCGGAAGAAAGCTCATTGCTGCTTAGTTGAGACTTGAACTGTCAAAATGGGAGGACAGGAATCCCAGTATCCTGTAGTAGAAGGGCCCAAAAAGGCAGCTGCAATTTCGATTCACCCCCATGCTAGCCTTGCAGAGCGAAACCAAATGCAGGCGGTTCATGGACATGCCGGTCGATGATGCCTTTCGAAGCAGCACTTGCCTCATGCATAGTTGGCTCCCGAGCACATTTTTCTAAGTTTTTCTAATAGGAAAGGTCATACTGTCTTGAACGTATGGAGGCAAATTACACTAAAAAATGGCCGCCTTACTCACGCAAGGGCTACAGCTACCGGAGCAATCACGTGCGTTTATGAATTGTCAGAAGGCAAGGCGTAAGCGTAGGACCCCAGCGCCGAATATGCTCATTAAAGGAACACGCCGCCCAACAACTATGTTTATCACTATGACACACCCTCTTGGCAGGGATTGAGGTCAATATGATTGAGTCTCCGTTTGCGGCGTTTGTGAGAGACTGATGTGGTCTCAAAGGCACACTCTTGCCACACGTGCATCATCAATGACAAACTTATCCGAACAAAGTGATGGATAACTGAAATCGTGAGCATGGCAGAACCACAAGAGGCGCCAGGCCCTTTGACGTAAGTCAAGCTGATGGATGCCACCCATTATGCTTGCAATAGACGTCCTGCGCGTTTGCCCGAGTGACCTTCTTGGGCAATAGCCAAGAGCACAAATTAATTGGTTGCTGTATTAAATCAAGCTACCATATTGGATATCTATAGTAATGAATATGGTTTCACCAATATAGTAATTTTAAGTTCCCTAAAAGCAACCCAGACAGCAAAGGCGGTGGGCCCCGAGCTGCGAACTCAGGGCTTGCTCGTGTTGTAGGCATGCTGCGCTACCAAGCTCCCCATGGGGAGCTTGGGGAAAGTAAAGGGAAGGGGGTTGCAAGGGCCTATGTTGCCCAAAGGCTTCAGTAAGGCCATATATCTCCGTCCACCCCCCTAGCCCTCCATGACTACCACTTTTTCCCTTTGTAGAGTTTGAGTGCTGTAGTTCTTGGCAGCATGCCTGCCGTGCCACGATTCCTGATGGGTCGGGCAGCGATCATTGAACTTTACCCTGCTGGTCTCTTCCAGGACCCTCCTCGTACCCCTTGAATAGAGATATATGGTAAATATTGGGGGTATTAAGAGGGTAGATGGAGGGTCTAGGTTATTTGAAGCCCTAGCTCACAGCTTCAACGGTTGCTCAGAACTGCAGGTGCGGGGCCCCGCCGAAGCAAGGGCTGCTCGGGATCGCCTCCTGGCTCATGGACTGTGCTGTGCGCATATGCAATTATAGTCTATGTATATTATAACAAATTATAATACATCATAGTATATCATAGTATATCATAGTATATTACAATATCTTATAGCCCTGCGCATAGGCTAGCCGCACAAATTATGGATGCGGCGCCGATTTTTCGAGGAAAGCGCTCATTGCAAGATGTGCGGATCTTGCACACAGGCAGGCCACGCAATGGTTTTCCAAACAAAACTACACCTAAACCCTATTGTGATTCAGGCCCCGGCCCCATGGTGCCTATGGTGCCTGAGGCCCATCAACCTCCACGTCGAGCCCGCGGAACCTGAATCCAGACCATGACGAGCTACCTCAGGGAGCTGCTGGGCTTGGACATGCTTGGGCAGTTTAGGGTTTAGGGTTTAGAATGGTTCAGAGATGTTCAGAGTTATTGGCAAGTTATTTCTTATTCTTCTTGTTACTCTGCTTCGATTTGTTCTTCTTGATATCTTCCTTAGTGTTATTATTGCAGTTATTACCGGTTGATGGGGCATTTTCCCTGTTGCCTTTAATGGCACGTGCCAGATAGTAGGAACAGAAAACAAATCTATGATGACGTACATGCTTACAGCAGCAGAGGATCCGATAACCACAGCTGTAGTGCAAGATGAAGTAGGCATACCAGATATTAGGTATGCTTTGCTATCTCTGCCGGGGAGTCGGGACGCCTGAGGTTGAGGTTTTAGGGGCGTTGCCAGCGGCTTGCTACCCGGGCGGCATCATCCAAAGCCGTTACAAAAAGGGGTGTTCCCAATTTTGGTAGTTTCCATTTTCTTTTCCCTTATCCCTGTATGACCCCAATATGTACCCTATCATAATCTAGTAGTTTCCATTTTCTTTTCCAGGTTTCAAGGTTAGAAGTCCAAGGTTGCATACTGCAAAGGTCACGTGCGGAGGAAGTTACAAAGTACATTCGGAGTTGCCAGACGGCAGCGTGTACTGTAGTCTGGTTTGCTGTTAAGGAACTTTCGTAAATTAAGTTACCCTACTGGGTATATATAGTAACTCATATTGTTTCCCTGATATAGCAACTTAAGTTAAGTTTCTTAACAGCAACCCAGTAGTAGCCATCAACACGCGCGTGCGCAGTGTGGCGCAATGAGGCACAAAGCGCTGACTTCAGGCTCGGGCTTTGTGCGGAGTTCAGAATCTGGATAAGGGGGTTTGTGCCCAGGGCATACGGGTGTCCTGAAACGGTACAGCTTTTCAGATTTCTGTGCAGGGCACCAGACTCACGATTCCTCCCTCAGCACATTGGCTTGACGAGGGGCAGACCACAAATTGTTGTCCGTTCCCATACCTGCAACACGCAGCATCCAGCTCCTGCACAGCTACATAGCTTCGGGTTCAGAAATCTGGTTCTGCAGCCAGAGCTGTTCTGACAAGCCACAGATAAGTCAGCAACACGTACGTCCAGTGCTTGTCGATAGATAGCACTGGGCGACATTTGCAGTTGCATGCATCGTGTGTGCGCTACTGATTCAACGCTAACGCTACCTGCGTGCATTGAGAAATCATGCTTCGGATGAGCTTCTCAGGCTATGGATTGCGCTTCTTCTGTGGGGCATTTGTTTCATCAAATCCATCTTCTGCATGTAGATTCTGGAGGACGCTCCAGAGCATGATCGCGAAGGGCATAGTCGAGTCCTGCATCTCAGGGAACGGGGAGGGTTGTGCTGACCTGGGTTAGCACTGCACGCAGTCTGCAATATTGTTGCCTTGTTGTGCTGCAAGTCCACCGTGTGTGGGGGATATGTTGGGGGGTTTTGGGGATATATTGGGGCAGAGGTAGAATCAGGTAGAAGCACGTGCAGGATGCAGGAATGTTCGAGCTGCTGTGGAATCTGTACACTTTCTTCATGCGCTCTTGACCGTTACCATTATTGCTACTATTAGTACAATAACTAAAATGGTCAGTATTACTACTACGACTACTACGACGACTTGGACTACTACTACTACTACTACTACTACTACAGCTGCTGCTGTCTATTTGTCTATTGCCACTGCTAGTGCTCACAAATTCAGAAACTATTGTTATTCATACCTTGGCCGGGAAACTCAGGCAACCTGCAAGTGCAACTGCGAATATCAGTCCCTTGTCCCGTATGCGCTATAGCCTAAACTCCGTAAAGGGGGTTATGTAGGGGATTGTATGGCGGACGACTACAGGGGTTATTGAGGGGGATACTCGGATCTAAGACTATAACTTATATGCAATTTCAGTGTTCATTTCATTTTGGATTTTCTTTTGGATTAGAATTTATTGGGATAATAGCCACCCTTCAAAGGGACAGACAATTTCCGAGTGATTCCACATATCCCAGCATATCCTCCATATAATCCCTATGTCTAGAAGGTTTTGTTCCATGTGATTCTCCACTCTAAGAAGCACTATAAAACCTAAATTGACCATATACACATACATATGTCTATCTCTCTCTCTCTCTCTATAGATATATGTGTGTTTATCCTAGCCCCACCAAGTGCCTTGTTATAATATAGTATTTTCCATTTTCTTTTCCATTATCCCTATATATAGCCCCAATATATTCTCTTACTATCTTATTATAAAATGGTAGTTTCCATTTTCTTTTGCATTATCCCAAAATAGCCCCAATCTATTCCCTTATTACCTTGCTATAAAATCGTAGTTTCCATTTTCTTTTCCATTATCCCTATATAACCCCAATCTATTCCCTTATTACCTTATCATAAAATGGTACCCTAAACCCTTAACCCTTAACCCGAATATATGCAAATTTCGGCTCACAGCTTTCGTGGCCTTGACACGTCAGCCACGGATCTGTTTTTGCCAGTCACTACTTGAGGCCAGTGGAGGATGGGTGTGTTGAGGGCTAGGGGTATAGGGTTTGGGGTTTATGGTTTAGAGTGAGGACTATGAGTTTAGGGTTTGGGGTTTAGGGTCTAGGGTTATGGGTTCAGAGTAGGGGGCTCATGTGCTAAGTACTCTAAAGTTATCGGAAAGATTAGGGAAGGGAGTTTTCTAAGCTGCAAGGTAGAGCTAAACATGTGCTAGCGAAGGTATGAGTAGACGTATTCAGAATTCGGTTATACTTGCGAGTAGACAGCGCCGCCAGTTACGTCTTAACGTCTAATAGAGTCCACTTCGTTGTTGCATTGCCCTCAGGCCTACTGAGCCCGCTGAGCCGATGTTCCTGTTTGGAAGCAACGGCTCGTCTGGGCTCCTTGCTCAAACTCCAGATTGACAGCTCTGGGATATAGAGAATAACATGGAAACTACTATATTATAACATGATATATTAGGATCAAGTTCGGCTACTGTATGAAAGTCTGCGGCGGAATCCTACAAAAACCGATCTGAGGGTCGTCCAGAAACCCATGCTTGAATTACAAGCTCGACGACACATGAAGCAAATGTGTTGCTCGCATCGCGAAAGGGCGGCAATAGTTCCCACAGAAGGTTGATAGCTAGCGTAGTGCGAACAACCTCGTTGCGCTAGATAGAGAGAAAATCTTGTGGGCTCCTGTCACGCATTTGCAGTGAGTCCCTCGCAACTGGTGTGGATAACGTGTGCTGCACGCAAAAGCTGCGTGCTAAAGGTGCGCGGAAGGAGCGGCGAAAGAGTTGTTCCTGGGAGAAGGAATATTGGACAATTTCAAACGTGCTGCTACGAGGATCTTTAAGGGAGAAGTAAATCCCCTCGCACCCCAACGTCTGGAGCAGCACAGCTTCTTTCAGTGCACCCAAGGCAAGGTGAGCCTGCAGGGGACCGCTGCTGCAAAGGGAACTTTCAGCTTGGTCACTTGATTTCGGAGGTTTTCCAAAGAATCGGTCCATGTGCGGAGGTCTATTTCATGAGGGTCCCATCATTTAGGGAATTGACAAGCATGTGTGCCACTCAAAGTTCTGCAACGCATTTACTTCGAGGCTTCCATGGTGGATCATCACGACCTTTGATATCATCCCAAGCGCCCGAATCGTTTTATGGCAAGCTCTGCCCCTTGTTCTCTAAAATACGATTACATTTACTTGCTGTCGCTGCCCTGGGACCATGGCTTGTCATCCAAACTCCTTGCAAAGAGGCATGCAACATGCACAAACTCCCGAATGAAGCCGAATTCTCACTAGAGGGAAACAATGTGGATTGATTTTGGGTTTGGGGGAAGCGCAAGCAGTCTCTTACCACACCTTCCAGCACTATATCCGACATGCCATATCCCAATCTGGAAAGCTCTTCTTAACAGTCTCTGAAGCCTGAACCCTGAACCCTTCAACCCACAATCCCTCGATGCGTATCTCCTTACCGGGGCCGGTTGACACTTAGAAGCTCAACATCAGGGAGCTCTTGGTGGACCCCTCAATGCGTATCCCCTTACGAGGGGCCGGTTGACACTTAGAAGCTCAACATCAGGGAGCACTTTGTCGAGACAACATTCCCACACAAGACGTTAATGACGCGTATGCCACAAATATTCATCGGGCTTAAAGTCCTATCGCATCCTTTCGCATACATAACACTTTGTTCGAGGATTCTTTTATTGACTGGAAGCCTGCAGGACTTGCACCAAGAAATCGTTGACAGGGATGAGGAAATCGCGGAGTTGAAGGCAGGTGGGTGCGATGATGCCCCCTTGGCGGCCTAATTTCACATCTTCTGGAATCCTCACCAATTGCTCTTCATCTTCCAATTCCACTGACAAGTCAACATATTCGCAGAGATTCGCGAAGATACATTTCTTCCCTTCGGACAAGGGCGAGGGTGAAACTACAAATCTAGCGGAGCCACATTGGCATTTTTCAAAGTTGAGGTCCGCTGAGTCCTAATTGCAGTGACCTGAAAGAAGGGACTCACAACTGCGTTCACGACTTTCTGAACTAGGAGGCTCCTGCCAAGAATAACTGACGCCCTTAGGCGTCTTGAATGCCGAAAAACCCTCCTGCACGGCCGAAAAGTGTATCCCTGCAGGCAAAGATCGAAGCCTATCGTGATGCCTTGGAGAAGCTTGAGAGTGGAATTAGTAGTGGTCAAGCCTAAAGCAAGAAGAGCGCCATGTCTTAGCAGCCAGTCGCAGAGGCAGCCCAGATTGTTTCATGCAGAAAGTAAAATGTCTGCCCTAAATGCAAGGAAAGAACCCCACTTTGATCACTTTGAGATGGCCATGGAAGAGAAGAACAAGGCCTGAACGGCACCATTTTTGGGTTTGCATTAACCGTGTGTATCTACAAGGGCATGCGTCCAATGCAAGCTCGCCTTGTCTAGAGTCTATGCGACCTGCGACAACTGGAGTTGTGCGCGCAGTGCCGGCGCCATCCTGTACCATACGTTGCAGGTGCTGGAGGAACAATTCGCAAAAGTGGAGGACCGCTGTCTGGCTGTGCGGTGCCTGTTCTCTCTACCCGCGAAGATTTGCAGCTCGTGGTAGTCATTACCGTTGCGGTGCCCGTGTGCTAGTAGACCACCTGCCTGAATTATAGAAATTCAACAACGGGGCCGGAGTGACGAGGACCAGCACAGATTGTCCAACGCCCTCGCATCTGCCAGGAGCTAACGAAGGCAAACCAGACACTCCTGGAACGGCTGCAGCCATCTCAGCTTGTCCGGCTTCATGAAGCTGCATATCCTGCCAGTGGTAGGAACAGTGCCGTGCTCGCATAACGCCCAAAACTGAGAATGGATGCAGTAATTGTGTGAGAAGCATCGAATCAGTCGTGGATGCCTGCAAAAGCAAGACTGGCAAGAAACTTCCACGCGCTGCGAGTAGCAAGCAACATTCTAAGAATACAACATCCATCCCTCCAAGTTCAGGATTTCCGTGCTGAAACGCTTCCACAAGCGCACTGTTACAACACATGCTGCCACCAGATCAAGTGCTCAGGCAGAACTCGGGGCCAGAGGAGGTCAATGAGGCATGGGACAACACTCGTGAATTGACTGCCAGGCTGTTTGTGTTCCAAGTTTTCAGGCCCAGGCCGCAGGAAGAGCTCTGTCAGTTACTGCATGTAGGCGGGCCTGCTTCGCGTTTGCGTTCTGCAGGGTCCGGAGAGTGGAAGCCCCGAGATGGAAGAGAAGCGGCAGGCAGAAGAGCTCGGGTGGAGTGTGGAGTCAAGCTGACTTGTGCGCATGTGCGTTCAGCCCAGTGAGTTCTAACATGCTCTCGTGATCTCTATGACTCATTGGTGAGAGGTAGAACCCACTTTCGTTTTACCTGCGTGACGGGCACCTAGACCCAGAACCACTTGAGCAACCCAGCTGCTTTCCAGGCGGAGGTAGCACATGCACAGGCGACGACGGCGACTTGGTTGCCTTCAAACGGCTAAGTTTTGCAAACTAGGGAGCCATAGTTCCCCAAGGGGTATAATATGGGGATCAGGGGGAACTCTGAAACAACTAATTACGGCAATGTGAACAGAGAATCGCCATGACTCAGAAAAAACATTAGACATACGCTTGTCCCCAGGCATGCGCTTCTGCCAGCTTGTATGGGCTTTGTTTTTTGACAGATGGCCCCTTTCCGGGCATTGGGTTTCGTATCGCGTGAAAGTTACAATTAAATCGGACAGAAGCGCTGCCCAAACGAAGTAGCTTGCCTTGCTGTCTTGAGGAGCTACGCTTGCAATTGGAGGCGGCCCACCAGGTCAGAAGGGCACGGCTCCACCT